GAGCTTTTCTGAATTAGTTAAAATAGCCTGAGTATCTCTTAATAGTTTCCTCCAGGGCTTTGGTGGTACCCTCAAAATTAAAAAATCAGTGGGAAATTTCTCAGTGGTACACTCAATGATTCGGTCACTTGAGGGTTCATTCTTTATCTGATTGTGGCATGCAAATTTTCTGTGTTCCTGCACTTGCCAAAATCAAAAAGATAAGGTGTAGTTTGGGTAACTGAGTCTTAATGTTTATCAGAACATAGGGGCGTTAATGGAGGGAGTCTGTAGAAAATACCAGGTCTCTACAGATCCTGCCTTTCATTTGCCAAGGCATCAGATCATTTCAAAGGTGAGCAAGCCAGAAAGGTGAGAGACAAATAGGAAATGGGAAAGCTGAGCTTTCCATTTTCTGTTGGAAAGTTCTGAGCTTTCCATATTCTGCTGTCACTGTGATAGTTATGCCCAGACTAAATAGATTTATAACAGACACATCCAAACGAAATGGAGAAGAGCAGCAGCAACAGAGAACAGAAAAAGGCTGCTTCCAGATTTTTTGAGAGTTTATTATAAAACCGTAAAGAAGCAAAGCCAAATCAGAGCTAGTAGACACAGGAGTTAGCATGACAATGTCTGTCCTATCACTCAGCAAAATTGTTCGATACCTCATTCATGGTTCACCTTAGAGTGAAGGAGTAGAAGAGCATGCTAAGCCAGTGAGTTCATAAAGCAAGTTATATAATCAAGCTGTATTTGTAGTCAGTAGTCCTCTTTCTGTCACTACCCCTACTTGAGGGGGGTAGCGTACTGTGGAAGCTCACTCCTTTGCTGGTTAGATACAGTCTGATCTCCAGGTCAAAGGCACTCAGGACCGGTTTTTACTCATTTCTTCTTAAGGTCCAACGTTCACTCCAGTATATGTCAGTTTAAATAGTTCTCATTCCCTAATGCTACTCCAGATTATTATCTAGAGTAGCCGGTTTGTTTTACTGAGCTTTTCTAGATTTCTCTCATGAGATAAGCTCTTCATTCTTGTGGTCTTCCTAACAATCCTTCTCTGTATTTTCCAGTCTGAACTCAGCTTTCATGAACGTGGTTGATCAGAATTATTGCCAATGGCATCTCACCAGTGCCTTAGACAGTGGCAGTAGTACTTCACTTTTTCTTTCAGCCTGATGCAGCTGCTCTGTCAGTGGAGAAGCTGGGACTTTATTGGGACTCTGGGAAGCTGGGACTCTGTTGTTGTTGCTGTTTGGAGGAGAGTTTGAATTAATACCTAGAGTGGGAACTGGAAATATGTTTCTTAAACTGCCCTTTCTGTGCAGCAGGTAAACTTAGGTTAAGAAAAGATGGCTGGGGGGCAATGCCTTAGCGCACCACAAGTAGATTCACCAGAATTCATCTGCTAGACTATGTCAGAACCATTCCCTACTGCACCTTGAATTCCTCGCTCCTGGGCAGCGGGATCTGCCAGTCCTGTGGTCACATTCATGCTACTTCTGCTGATATGAAGCAAGCAGAGCTTTTAAAAAATATTTTAGATTCTCACCTTTCTGTATCTCCTCGATATTCCACAGCTTGGCATTTCAATATGCTGCTTATATAATAAAACTTTGCATTTCTGACTACACCTTTTGGACTGGGTTATGATATACTTCCCGATATTCATGAATAAAATCTCATTATACCTTGAATTAGATAAACTTCTCCTGATACTGCCAAGTACATTGGTTCACAAGCTGTGCTCTGCAGATGGCTGGTGATCCATAAATCCCAAATAAGTGATTGGTTCATTGTCCACAGAATTCTGTTAAGTCTTACTAATTGGTCAGTTAAAAATAGATTATAAAGGTGATCCACAAGGATTTGTGAGAAGTGGCTGTGGTCTGCAAGGGAAGAACTGAAGAATCCTCTGAGGCAGAACTCAGAGTACGAAAGGTTAAGCATCTTGTCCAAGAAATAGGGAAAAGGAGAAGGAAAGTCATAGCATACCTCTGAAAATGTCAGGAATAAAATCCAGTCTCTACATTATCGGTCTAGTGCTTTACCTCTAAAATTATTATTTTCTTCATAATTGGGCCATATTGTCATAGAGTAAGTAGAGTGTTGATATATTTCAGGATCTTGGTAACATTTTGGCTACTCTGATGATGACATTAGATCTGCACATCAGAGGCACTCATCTCAGTTGTGATGTATCCTCCATACAGGCCCAGGAGTTACAGACATTGAATTTTCCCATTATTTTCCCTTATCAAACTATATTACTCTGAATATGTTTGACTAATAGACATTGACAAAAAGCAGAAGGATCATCTCACAAAAAGCTACCTGTGCAGAAAACTGTCTTTTTATCAGAACGATGAGCAAAGTCAGTTTCTTCTTAGAAAGCAACGTAAATATATGCATTTCTACACTATATATAAAAAGGGAGTGCTGCTCTTTGAAACAACTGTAAATTACTGTAGCTGAAGAAGCCAGTAAGTGTCTATCCTTACTGCAGATACAAACAGGACATTTTTTCTGGGCTTACTATTCATCTTCTCCTTTACAACATAATTGTTGTTTTATCTTTGAAAGAAAATGCACTGTGAAAGATACAAAGGAATGAGACTCGGTATTTTTGATCCCATCATTTCTCACCTTCTACACCCTCTTTTCCAGGGGAAATTCATTCTGTATAGACATTCAGAGTGGGGTGCATATGTAAGTGCAAACTGAAGTGATGTGCAGTCAAGGAGGTCATGGCACTCTGCCCTGCTTAAGTGAGAAAGCTGTTCAAATTAATTCCGTCAAAGAACCAGGTCCTCTAAGGCCAAAGAGAGTAACATAGCCAAGTGTTTCATTACAATCATGAGGGTGGCCTATAAGCACATGCTTTTTCAGACATTTGTTTTCGGCTCATGCCCTGTTTTTCCCCATTCTCTTGGGAGCAAGGGAGCAGCTGAACATGAGACTTGAGAACTACTTGGACTTAATATAGTGAACTCTGCTTAGTGATTAAACTTGCCTATGCTGATAAAGAATCTTCATTTAAGGACTTTAAATATGTCCTGAGGGTAGGGAAGCATACAAAGCCATCTTTTTTTATTCCTGGACCATATTCAAGGTGCGGGCCTACCTTTTCCCCATTATTAGGATAAGGAGCAGGAGTCTGATAGCGCCTGACAATAAATGTTCTGATTGTTGTCTCGAGCTTAGGTTTCCCTGTGGGCTCTCAGGTCTGTCGTGTGTCCTCTAGGAAGTGGCCTTAGACTGCCCTTGGTGCTAAAATCCTAATAGGTAAAGGATCTGAGTAGGGACTCCTGCAAAAAAGCAGGTGTACAACATGCTAATGGAAATAGACTTGTGCATTTTCTCTTTAATTTTAGTAAATAACTAAGGAGAGAGTTATCCTGAAGGAAAAACACAGTTTATTTTGCTAGCAGTGGTAAGTGTTTAATATACCCAATTAATCATTTGAGCACAAAGAGAAGAACTTTGTCAAAATAAAAATAAGGTTTTTGCATTCTTGGAAGCAGAACATCATAACATTAGGGAGGCTGAAATGTTTATTTGGTTTTCTAACAATGCATTTAGCATTTAATAATAGATACCGAAATGGCAATCCTTGTAATTTTTTCCACTACTGTTTTCAAAGGGCCAACATAGCATCAGCAGCAGCTTCTTCACATTTCTTTGCCAAATGCCTCCACAGTAGAGACAACTCCTGTGCAGAGTGAACTGACATATGAATACATCTGAAAGTGTGCTACAGTGCGCTCTATACTCACTTGAAGTCTACAGCTTGCATTTAAGAAAGAGAAGCACTGTGGGCATATTCACAAAGCCCAAGAGCACTAAGCATCTACATTTCCTCTACAGTCAGCAGAAAACCAGAGACCCGTCTAGAGTATCATTTAGAGCAGGAGTCTAATGTAGGTGATGTGAACTGCCCTCTGAAGAATCTGTCTCTGTGCCGACTATAAAATGAATTTTAGGATGTAAAGTCAAAGCATTAGCACCAGTTCTGAGTCTGATGTTTCTTCAGACTCTACAGACACTAGTACTTTTCTAAAATTCACCTGGATTTTGGACACAAGAAAGATTCACTATCACTAGTCTAGGGATACTGGGTCTCTCGGCAAAAGTTAGCCTATCCCAGCACTTTGAATCATTAGCAATACCTCACTTCCTATAGTTCCACAGTGGAGAGGTAGGGAAATTAGCTCTTTCCTGTGCCTTTTGCATCCTGCAACAGGTTGTACTCCAGCCCGAGAAATAAAAATTGGCTGCAATTCTGTGTTCAGCTTGCCCGTAATTCTGCCTATGGTACTGTAAGTAATGAATCCATAAGTTCAAGGCATAGTGAAGATTTTGCCTTTTATTAATTTTTTTTTTTTTAAGGAACTTTTAAGGAAACTAAGGCATGGGCAATTAACCTAATTTAATTTAGAGAAGCACTGAAATTTCTTAGTGGGAAAAGTCTATGTTCAAAAGCTTCAACAGGAAACAGGTCCTTTCCTCAAGAAGGCTACAAAAGGTACAAGTTTTAGTGAGACTGTTCTTCAAATCCAGGTCTCCAGATTCCTCTATTCACTCAATCGTACTGTTTTTGAAGTAGTAGGCATTAATGTATATAGGGATGAAATGTAACAAAGATAGGACTGGGGTCAGCAAATGAAATGAAAGCTAAAACTCCTCTTTCTAATCCATAGGCAAGTTGAGGAACTTACGTGGAAGGATTTCTAGGAAATAAAATGAAAAAAGAAGACGATTCTTCTTCTTCCTACTGAAAACAAGGACTGCTGATTTCAGCTGTTCCATTACAGAAAGAAACCAGAAGGAAAGTAGAAAAGGCTGCTGGCGAAAACATGCAGGCTGTGCACTGGCAACCCCCAGCCACTGCACAGTTTTTTACCTGCTCTGTTTTATTGTTTTGTTCTTGCAATTAGACTGGTATAAACAGCACTAGACTGATAATAAACAACATTGGAGAGTCAGGAAGCTGGGTGGGATTTCCTTGTGTCTTTTGCTAAAGAAATCAGAAAGATGAAAGGTTAGTGATGTGTACACTTGGTAATAGTTATTTTTTAATTCTAAAACTTCCTTATAGTATGTCTGTGAAAGAAGTGGATAAATATTAAGGCCTAAGTGTAAACATTCAGGATGCAAGCACTTACAGTATCTAAGACCACATTTAGTCAGGAACTTTAGTTATTACCAAATTAAAGAGTAACTGTATGCACAGAAATTCTGAAATCAAGCACTCCCTACTGCATGGTTAAGAAAATACAAATTTTACATCGGATTTCCTGACCAAGGCTTGCTGCTTCTATTGTAACCTTCAAGACATTTTATCCCCACTTCCATATGCCCCTTCAATATCCAGAGAAGCTAGCATACTGTTCTTTGTACTATGAGACAGTAGAATTCGCTGAGAAAATTTATGCAGTAATTGAAATCCTGCTGAGAAGGTGGGTTAGTATACAGCCCTCACCCTTATGCAGGGTCCGGCTCCAGTTGTCCTCTCAGACAGTCGAAATGCACTCTGAGATGTCTAACTTAGCTTTGACCTGGGCTACTTTTCCATAAATCTTTATGTTAGGATATGCTGTCTGTTTTTGGTCTGAAATCAGTGTGCAGATGTATTGCCAAACTCCAAGAATTAAAAAGTCCTGCCAGGCTCCCGAGATACTTGAGATTTTTCTTAAAACGCGTATGAGGTGAAACACTAGCTAATTCTAAGTTCTTTATTTTTACCATCTGCTTTTTGAGCTGCTTTGATACATCTTTCATTATGGATGTACCAGGTAAAATTTTGGCGAGGTTTTCAAGTTACTCTCTGCAACCCTGAAAGCTAAACACATGTCACAGCCCAGCATTAGTCTCTTATTTCCCCCTTGTAGACATGAAGAGAAGGGTTTCCATCTGTTTTTTCAAGGCATGAGTCTATCTCATGCACCACACTTTCTGAAAGCCGATTTTTTAATGTTATGCTCAAGAATTGTCATGGAGGTTTAGATGTTTTTTGGTACCAGTCACCAATGACATTTAGCTTTGATACACTTTGATACATCTTTCATTATGGATGTAGTTTTTGCCATTCTCTTTTGCAACAGGAAATATTAGCATGGATGTAAGAATCATGAAGAGACTTAAACCCTCTGTGAACTTCTTGAATTCATTCATATCTGTTACCAAAATTCCAATAAAATAAAAACGTTTCTAGTTTTATATAGTACAAGAGACAATAAATTATTCCTTTTTATTTTTTATTACAGATGGCATCTGCTCAAGATTCCAGATATGGCCAGAAAGATACATCTGACCAGAACTTTGATTACATGTTCAAACTGCTCATCATTGGCAACAGCAGTGTTGGAAAAACATCCTTTTTGTTCCGTTATGCTGATGATTCCTTTACATCTGCATTTGTAAGCACAGTTGGGATGTTCAGCAGAGTATATATTCTGAATTAAATTCCGTTAAGAAATACCTCAGGATGACATATATTGATAGCTGTTCACCTCGGTATAAGGAACTGTACTATTTACAGTCTGTTGAAAAGGTTACACGTTATTAAGGACTGTCTTGAAATACCAGGTAGGATCTGATTTCTTCCCACAAAAAAATACAAATTATTTTAGGAACTATGGGAGTGGATGCATAACAGAAGGTATAATTTTTTGCTCTTTCAGTTATGTTTGTCATCCTGATCAGTTGAAGCCGCTTCCTTCCACTGCTGACAAAGCAAACAAGTGGAAAGAGAGAGTGTAATAGCTGTGTTGCCAGAGTATACAAAAACCCTTACCTACACCTCAGAGATGGAAGGAAGATGTCAAACGTAGAAAAGCCTGATGCCAGGGAGAAGGTGTGCTTTTGTGCAAACTTTCCTCAGAAAGCAAGGATAAACAAAAACTTGGTCACAGCTCCTAATTCTTTGTGGTACTCAGTTAAAGAATGGGTGATGAAAGAAACTTTAACAATGTGGGACCTGGAGTTAAAGTTTTAGGTCTTTGCCGAGGTGCTTGAAGATTTTAAGCCACGTTTCCTTTGTGGGATATTTGTAACAGCCACACTGCTCTGAGAGAAATTTTGAATCTCTAGCCTGGAAAGATGCTTCGTTAGAATGGATGTAAATTAACAAGTAACCAACATTTTCCTTTTATGTGCATAAACACAAGTCGTTTAAAGATGTGTTTAATGATGAACAGCCATTAAATCTGGGGAAACCTTGGATTAAACCTGACCAGACCGTCTGACATGTTTAGAACAGCAGATAAAGTGAATATGTTTTTCGTATGGCACATTTTCCCAGCAAGCCCATTTCTTACAAGACTGTGATCAGGGAGGTAAATCCAAAGGTGGATTAGCTCAGATCGGGCTATATCTCCTTCCCGCCTGTTTAGGTAGGATGCAGCCCCCTGATATCTGAAATTCGAAATTTAGTCTTACTACTTATCATATAGTTATATCAGTATAACATATAGTGCTACATTTTAAGTATATGTGTGTCATGCATGCTTTCACAGCATTAGCATGGTAGTTTCACTGTAACACAGTAATGTTGGGGATGACAAGGTAATTCACACTGACATTGCCTCATTATCTCTTGATAATGGAGCAATAAAATTGTGTTCACATTACAGACTTTACACAGTTTTTCTTCTTTTAATGACCAAGTGGCTTCTACAATGTGTTTAATTCATCACGTCTCTCCTAGAAAAAGCAGCAGCATTAGTTTACTACATTATATTAATGTGATTAGTTTGATACCAACATATTTCTCATAATGCTTCTCCATGGCAAACTACGAATATGTGCCTGACTCAAAGCAGTCCATTAATCTAAATGTGCCTGGAGTTATCTGTGGCACAGAGAGAATATTGTGTTAGCTGTATTCTTGCTAGCTGGAGTAAACTTCCAGTTCTATCCAAACCAGACACTGTCTTGTTCTTTGCACAGCAGTAACGTGAAACAGACTCTGCTTTGAGAATGAGCTACCTTTGTTTTGCAGGGATAGCACAGGAGAATCCCTGCTTGGAAAAACTTGCAACAGACGTGAGTGAAAAAAACACAAGGTTTCCACATCCCACATCAGGTTATGACAGGAACCTTCCTAAAGTCACCTACCGGGACATAGAGAGGGTTGGGAACAGGACTTCAGATCTTCTTACTTTTAGGTTAAAGCTTTTTGCACCAGCCAGCACTGCCTTTCCTTATTTGTTTCCGTTAAAATTTTAATGTAAGTTCTTAAAAAGCTTTATCATTGCCAAATGAACTCAAACTGCAACAGCTCACTATTACTGTTTGCGCTTTTAGATGGAGTATTCTGCATTGGAAAGTTGTGTTGCAGTTATGCTTGCTAGAGTAAATCTGTTGAATGTTGCACCCCTGAGACCTTAAAAAAAATCAGTTAGGTATCCCAGAAAGCTATTCCAGTGAGTGAAATTTGAAACAAATATAGAGCACTATTACCCCATCACATAAGCTGTATCGACAGCTGTATTATTCCTAATATGCGGTATCTGTATATGTAACACCTCTCTATATTATACTTTATTACTTTTCTTTGATTATGCAAACATCTTTAAAATAAACAATACTCCCGCAATATCCATTTCAAACTGCATTTATGAAAGATAGTTTAGATTACCTAAAATATAAAACTGAATGAATCAGAGTGAGTTTGATTTGCTGTTAATTCTGTCTAGAAACATCTGTGAGCCTGTAACACTCTTTGAAATCTGTGACAAAGTACTTGGTGACATCATGTAATAAGTGATGTTCAGCATATATGAAATAAGGCATTCTGAAAAATCTCATAGGTTTGAATAATCAGAAGAAACTGGAAATTGAATACAGTTTTAAAATGTGTTCTGAGTGATGAGAGCAAAATACTAAAATACTTTACCATGTACTGCAGTGAAGAAATACACACAATGCCACAGTTCTGCTATGCTTGCATGACAGTAAGATACACAAACGTGTAAATAGTAAGGCCGTTAGAGTCATCAGATTCCCTAGTTGGAGACACAATGTGTTTTCAGTTACAATGCTTTCTTTTTGGATGGACATATAAACTTTCTATTTAACATCCGTTTCGCATGAAACTTAGTGCTCAGCTTGAAGTATGTTGGAGCTTTGACCAGTGATTTTTCTTTGAATATGATTCTAATATGCTTACCAGTGAATGGTATAACATTGTTCGAAAGTCCACATGAGCATTCAAGGAAGCAGAGTCATTATGTCTTAAAAAAAATCACTATGTGTTTATTACAGATGAATTAGCAAGGGTTATTAGGTCGCAGTAGGTGCTGTCTTACTGGGATGCCCTGAAGTTTTTTGTTTGTTTGAGGGCTTTTTTTTTGCTGTAAGGTGATGGTGCCTCATTCTTACATTCAAAAGACCCGAACTGAACTATCCTCTTTTATTGTTAAAGTCTGGTAGGATATGCCTTTCTCTAGTGCTTATCATTATTGCTTTTTCATAGGGTTAGAAAGAACCTGCTGGGAGCAGTGTAAGGTTTATTTTATTCCTTCTAAATCGAAAAATTTCCTTGCACAATATTTTTTTCTGGAACTGAGAGAGGTTCAGAGTTCAAGCGCTGTATGAACTAGCAGTAGCACATTACCTTGTCACAGGACCGCTAGCTTGTTTCAAGGCAAGTTATAAATGTGGCAACCATAGTACAGACAGTGTAAAGACAGAATATTAATAGGGGTTTTATTCCTTTTTAAGGATAGAAATCCTTAAAAAATATATATTTCTACCAAAAAAATATTGATTTCTCAACAGAAACTATGAGAAATTTTGGCAAGAAATTCTGTCTGTATCCAGCACATAACTGCATAGGGTAAAGTCTATGAAAGGACTTTTGAATGTTCTACAGTGTCCAATAATAAACAGCAGTAAATTTTCCCACCATTTAGTTTGAGCTAATAATATTAAAGAGATGGGACTGGAAGCCTATCAGAGTCTTTCAGTTTCCAACATTTAGCTTTAAATTATGTAACATGGAAAAATAAGTAGCCGGTGAGTACCAATGCTGATAAAAATACACTCTAACGGAAAAGATTAAAAGTGCAAAGAGCTACAAACCAGAAAAGAAAATTAAATTTAACCTTATAAATCTACCACTGTATTCACTGTGCAAAGCAGTACAATCACCATATAATGCAGCTGTGAAACCATAAAAGTTTGCCATATTTTTGTAAGCACTATAGAATCTTTAATGAAAATAAAAGAAAGCAAGAGCTTATAGAGAAAATACAGGCAAAGCTGAACAGTAAAATTTGACAGATATGATTTGTCAAAATAAATCATTACAGTCAGAAAAAGTAAAATAAGTGAAGATATCGATTCCTGTAAAACAGAAGCAAATTTACAAAAAGAGGTCAAAGATTTTATTTAATTGACAGTGTTTCCATGTCACATCTTTAACTCCAGTTTAAAATTAACTTGATCAGAACTCTCAATGATTTCCAATTGATTTCAGTATATATTTTGTTTAAGGAATCAAGCATCAAGTTTTCCCACTCTGATCTGTCTGCCCTACAAAAATGTTCTAATCACACTATACAGCAATATCTGCATAGTTTCTACCTGACTGCAGTATTTGAGTGCAAGTATCAAATAAGAACACTGCATTACCTTTTGCTGCTTAGATGGCTTTTGCCTGAGACTAGACATAGACTTTATGGATTAGATGCAATGATCCTTCTTTCCCAGAAGGAAACTGTTGTGTATGAGAGTTTCATTCTGATACCAAAAACGTTGCTGTCTTCATATCATGTGCTTTCCATAAGCTATCGTACACTCTGGCTTAGGGATCAGGTGAGGACTAGGTTTTATAAGCTGAATGAGGAAATCCAATTTCATCATTCAATAATTAAAACTGTAGTACTTGTTCAAAAAAATCAATAAACATTAGGCACCTGGTTCTTTACTTGACAAGGCCCCTAACACTGCATTAGCAGTAAAAAAAAGAGTTAAAATGAGAATAAATTTCTCAGAATGAGAACAAATTTTTTGTCTCAGAGGGGTCTACGGGAGCAATTGTGTGAATGAAAATTGCCTTGATATTGACGTCTTTAAGGGGAATCCTACAGTAAGTCTTGAGTGTGGAGGAAGTGCAATATTCCAGAAATATCCTGTAACAGTGACTATCAGTACCATAATGACTGCATATGCTGGTTAAGAAGAAAGGTGGTGAAATCTGAAGCAACAAAAAAATCTGTTACAGAGTTGAGAGCAGAGTGAAGGAGAGGGTGGTAATGTATAATATATTGGAAATGTTTCATCGTTTTAGGGACTCATTTTGTGTCATCTGACTCACCTGAGTTTTTTTAACTGATATGATAGCCTCATCAAAGTTTATTATTTTATGATTTCTTTCCCAGGTGCTAGTGAAAGTGTATATGTTGCTGCTTAGTATAGGCAGGCTTTTTAGATGAGAATAGTAAATCTAATATTGAAA